GAGCTATAATTGATACTGGTTCTCAAAGGTCATATATTCTGCAAAGCGCAGCTCAAGATATGGGTTATAGGTATACGGTAAAGGAATACCTTAGCCACGCATTATTTGGCGGTACAACGACCAGTTTGTGTGAACATAAAGTTTACAAAATTCATTTATCTAATATGTCTGGCTCGTACAGTTGTAATTTTGATGCGTTAAGTCAGCCTGTTATTTGTAATAGTATACCTTCTATTGGACAAGGAATATGGCTTAAAGAGCTTGCTGACTGTGGAATAAGTTTAACAGATCGTTTAGAAGGACCTATAGAAATTTTAATAGGAGCCGATGTTGCAGGACGATTATTAACGGGGAATCGTAAACAAATTTCAAACGGTCTTGTGGCTATTGAGACAAAGTTAGGATGGACGGTTATGGGAAAAACCGGGGAGTTGAATAGTGAAGGTTCAACATTCTTAGTTACATCAATGTTGAATAAAGAGGCTTGTATTTCTGATTTATGGGCCCTCGACTCGCTTGGTATTACGGACCCATCCGAACAAAAGACTAAATTGGAATTGTATGAGGCTACCAGGCAACATTTTCTTGATACTGTAAAAATAGAAGATGACCGCTTTGTAGTGTCTTTGCCTTGGTTGGAAGGGCACCCTCCCCTGTCGGATAATTTTGAGTTATCGCTTAAAAGGTTGCACGGTACGATTAGGCAACTTGAAATAGATAATCTTCGCCAAGAGTATGAAAATATATTCCAAGAATGGCTCAAAGAGGGCATAATAGAGGAAGTACCCGTAAATGAATTAGATTTACCCCATCATTATTTGCCACATAGACATGTTGTTAAGGAACATAGTACTACGAAGTTACGGCCAGTATTTGACGCTTCGTCTAAAGTAAAGGGTTCTCCGAGTCTCAACGATTGTCTTGAAAAGGGATTAAACCTTATTTCATTTATTCCTACAATCTTAAATAGATTTCGCCAAGAAAAAATAGGGGTGATTTCTGATATTCGTAAGGCCTTTCTACAAATTGGCCTGAATTTTAGTGACAGAAACTTCCTCCGATTTCTTTGGATAAAGGGTGAAGATGGCTTGAAGCATTTTCGTCATTGTCGAGTCGTATTTGGTGTAACCAGTAGTCCATTTTTACTTGGAGCTGTTATTCAATATCACTTAAATTCAATTTTGGAGAAAAATGATGCAGATGAAAAATATCTTTCCAACATTATTGTTAAATTAATGAATAGTTTCTATGTTGATAACTGTGTAACAAGTGTCGGAAGTGAAGATGAATTACAGCGCTTCATGAAAGTATCTTCAGATGTTATGGCAGAACGAAAATTTGAATTACGGGGTTGGGAATATACCGACTGTAGTTTAGAAACAGAAATCTATTGCGAATGTATTAGGTTTGTTATGGGAAAGACAAGGCGATACTCTTCAAATAAATGTTGCTAATTTACAAAATCTTTGTTTCGAGAAAGTTACGAAAAGAAGTATTTTGGCAATAGCCCATAAAGTATTTGATCCCATCGGTATAACATGTCCAGTCCTTATATTACCTAAGATGTTATTACAGCGTACATGGGAAACAAAAGTAAAATGGGACGAAGAAGTTAACACCGAAATTAAAAGTAAATTTTTGAAATGGGTAAAAGACATTTTCTTTTGAAAAACATTAAAATTCCAAGGTGGATACGATATCAGCCAAAACAGTGTTCAATCCATGTTTTTTGTGACGCCAGTCAAGCAGCGTATGCGGCAGTAGTTTTTTATTCGTGTAGAAGAAACCTGAATCAGTTAAAGTCCAGTTGCTTCAGGCTAGGTCTAGAGTTTCCCCTTGTGGTAAAAAGGAAACTACTATTGTAAGATTAGAATTGTTAGCAGCAACTATTGCATCTCGTCTTGCTGCAGACGTTCTAAAAGACTTTGAGGCCAGAAGTATATTTTTCTGGACAGATTCAACTACTGTCCTTGCATGGATAAAAAGGGAAGAACAATGGGGACATTTGTAGAAAATAGAGTACAGGAAATAAGGCTTTTGACACGTGTGGAGGATTGGAGGCATATACCTGGTCACCTTAACCCTGCAGATCTTCCAAGTAGAGGGTGTTCAGTTCGCCAACTCTCCCGGTCAAAATGGTGGGAGGGTCCGAGCTGGCTTTTAAAATCCCAAGAAAATTGGCCGAGTGCCGAATTTATAACTGATGAAGCGGAAATAGCCAGCGAGAAAAAAAGGCAGTGGTTTCATCTCTAGTGTCTACTGAAAGGTTTAGTTTGAGTGAGCGATTTTCTAGCTATCGAAAAACAGTTAGAGTTGTTGGTTGGATTCAACGATTTTTCTTTAATTGCAGAAATAAGAAAAAAAGGAAAGGTGAACTCACTGTTGATGAAATTGATTTTGCAGAAAAGGTTGTTATTCGCTTGATTCAATCGGAATCGTTTCAGGATATAGAAGACGCACGCTTACGAACTCTTAGTCCATTTTATGATGCGGGAATTCTAAGAATTAAAACTGGTGCGTTTCGAAGAGATGACACGTTAGAGTTTAGAACACCTATAATATTACCAGGAGAACATCCATTAGTTAGGAATTTAATTATGGAAGAACATAAAAGAAAGGACATGCAGGTGTACAATATATACTGAATACCTTAAGGGAAAGGTTTTGGTTGTTATCTGGCAGAAGAACGGTGCGTTCTGTTTTGAGTAAATGCATTACTTGCAAGAGATATTCTGCTGCACCTGTTGACCACATATCAGCCCCACCGCCAATAGAGCGAGTAAATGATTCAGCAGTATTTCAAGTAACGGGTATAGACCTTTGTGGTCCTTTATTGTTGAGAAACAAAGAAAAGAAAAGGCATGGATTTGTGTTTTTACATGCGCCGTTTATAGAGCGGTCCATTTGGAGTTGCTGACTTCTCTATCTACAGAAGTGTTTCTTCAGGCTTTTCATCGGTTCGTGTCACGAAGAGGTAAACCCACAACTGTGTACAGTGATAATGGAACTAATTTTGTAGGAGCTTCAAATGCATTTAAATTAATAGATTTTGAACAAATTAATCGGCAGGCAGCCAATGAGCGGATAACATGGAAATTTATTCCCCCTGGTGCTCCATGGTGGGGTGGTTGGTGGGAACGTCTGATCGGAATGATGAAGCAAGTCCTTAAAAAAGTTCTTAAACATGCTTGTTTAAATTATGAAGAAATGTACACGATACTGTGTGACTGTGTGAAGCGATTCTTAATGACCGACCGTTGACAGTAATTCCTTCCGATCCTGAATTTAAAGCTTTAACTCCTGCCGACTTTTTAAAAGAAATTAGAACTAGTAGTTTGCGGGATATAAAATACGGTATTAAATCAAGTAATTTACAAAGAAGATTTCAGTATATTCAAACTGTACGAGAAGCATTTAAAAATAGATTTCGTAAAGAATATTTGGGAATTCTCAAGGTTTCGCATAAAAGAGCTGAAAGGAAAGTTACTATTAAATTAGATGATATTGTTTTGATCGGTAGTAGTGACAAAAGACTTTTTTGGCAACTTGGTCGTGTCATAGAACTACTTCCAGGACCTGATGGAATAAATCGACTTGCAAGAGTAAAGACCCGAAATGGAATTTTGCTTAGAGCAGTTCGAACTCTGTATCCTTTAGAGGTAGCGCAAAATGATGTACCCGTGAAGCTGCAGAATGAAAAACAAGATTCTTTGTCTGAACTTAAACTCAACATAGATGATAAATCTGTCAGGCCTGTAACACGATCTGGTAGAACTGTAACTCCGCCGGACAGACTGGCATATTAAGGCTCTTTGGCATTGTTTTACTTTGATGTGAAAGTTCACTTTTTTTCTTTCTTTTTTTTTTCCCCTTAGGTGGAAGGATGTTAAATATTTGCATAAGTCGCCTGTAGTAACGGCAACCGCCGGCAATAAAAGGAGGTGCTTTCCTTAGTGGCACCGCAGTTCCTTTTAGTTCGAGCCAGAATAGACCTGCCCGGGGAGAAGCCAGGGGATGAGAGATTCCGGTTTCCGCCCTGTTCCGGTTCCCGTCTTGTTGCGGATCCAGTCCTGTTCCGGTTCCCGTCTTGTTCCAGTCCTGTTCCGGTCCTGATCCAGTCCTATTCCAGTTCCAGCCTGGCCGTTTTAGTCCAAAACACGTAGGAGCGGATGTCTGAATTCAGCGAAATGGAGATATACGCCGAAAGGGCTAGATGGATTCTGTCTTTTAAGGGAAAGTGTTCTTCACCGTGCCGGCATAGCTGTTACTTTAAAGCACTTTGAAGTTTTCCACCCAAGATGTTAAGTTTTCGTTTGTGATGTTAAGTTTTCATCAGTGTTGAAGTTCCAGTTAAATAAACCTTTAAGTTTTAGACAAGGTTTTTGTGTTCTTCAGAAAATTTTAGATTCGAAGTCAGATATAGCACATAGGATTATTATCGGAAAAATCAACAGTATTTATTATTAGGTGCCAAACGAATACAATTAATATGGCTTATTTATTTTCAATATTTTAACTGAAATATTATTAAATTTTGTAATATAGTTTAGTTCTGCATAGTTTTTTCCCCTCTTATTGTAAACTAATTCTGTAAATAGAACTGTCATTTAAAATTAAAAAAAAAAGGTTTTTTTCCCTTGTTGAGGTAATGCTCATTCTCTTAATAAATATTGCATTGCTCATATTTTAAATTACAAGTCTAATTTTTCTTTTAAGGTTATGCAGTTGTGTATAATGTAATTAGACAGGTGCTTATTTTTTTAACTAAAATGTGGCTATGAACCCTGTGAAGCACTGAAAGTGCTATGCGAATTGACTTCAGACAGTGAATCTGATGCGGATCCTAGTACATGTGCATATTGTGTGCTTAGTTTTGTTTTTATGTGGGAAAGTGAATGGTAGCAATCACTTCTTGCTTGTTTTTCTGTACAGAAGCAATTGTTACAAAGTTCAAGTTTTAAAATATTGGAATATTTTAAAAGCTCATGTTATGCCACACATTTAAATTACCATAAAACCTTTATTACATACAAATACAAAATTTTACATATATGCATATTCTTAATTAAACATTCAAAAATTGGTCTTGAACTTTTTAGCTTCAACCATGAGATGATGAATATTGAGAAGTTCACTTCGCACAGGTAGATTTTTAAATGGATGTTGAGAGAGAATTTTGTGAAACCTATGATAATACTGGATTAGTTGAGTAAGTGCAGCCTAAAATAAATAAAAAGAAAAGCAATTGAAAATAAGCAAATATCATACATCTGATTAAAATTAATACATTTTAAGAAATTCTTTTGAATTTTTCACCTATAAAATATTTTATATTTATCCATTGTAATTGATTTTAGTGTTACTTGCTGTTTAGTTTTGTATAAAATATTGTATTCAGTAACAAGAGTTAGAAAAAAAACTTATTTTCAAGAATAGGTTAAAAATTCAGATCCATAGCTTCTATGTTTTTATAATTTGCTTTTGTGATTCACCAAATGAATGGCATTTATTTTATTTAAAAACTACTATTTCTACACTTGGATGCAGTGAAAAGTTTATGCAACTGGCTTTGATCATTCATATGCTGCACATGATGAATAAAACTCATTATTGTTTGTTCACTTCCACGGCTATCGAATCAATTTCCACCTTTTCGTTGCCCTGCATTGGCAACACGCTTTTGAGATTTGTTGTTCGTAGAATTCGGTCGCTAAAAGCATAGCTGGCCTGTAACGGTTGTAATTCTTATTTCATAGCTTATCGGTATTGATGAATTATTACTAAATGTTTACGTATGAATGTTTTATTATTAAATGTTATGCAGCTTGGTTTAAATAGACCAAGAGTCGTTGAATTTATTAAGGATATTTAAAATCGAAACTACGTCAGAAACATAAACAATTTTTGGAGGCATGTCGGCAATATTGGGGATTCATCAGCAGTTCAAGTACAGATAAGTGCTTTTTATTTCGATTTACATCTGAATTTGATTCTTGAAGTTTTATATCTATTTTGTATTGATTTTCATTTTGAACTTGATTACTTATGGATCAAGCTACTGTCATTAGATTGTGTGGTAGGGCAAAAGTGGCCTTCACAAGGCTTCAGAATACTACTTCTGATTTATCTAAAAATGAAATAATTTTGCATCTGGAGCGCTTGGGAAGGATTTATTCAGATTTTGATAAATTTGATGCCAAATTACCAGAACAACAGTCAGAAATTGAAGATTTTTAATCGAAGTATTTTAGTTTGAAACTTCAGTATCAAAATTTATTAGATGTTATTGAATGTGGCTAATGTGCCAAATGTTCCAGGGAATTCTAATATTAGTAACTTGAGTAACTTAAAGTTGAATATTCCTATTTTTTTGGGTAACTTTAATTTAAAGATTTGTTTGTTGCAACAGTGCATAAATACTTCTTTATCAAATATACAGAAATTTCAGTATTTAATCGGATCACTTGCTGATGAACCAACTTCTATAATTAAACATATTCCGTTATCAAATAATTCTTATGAAGAAGCATGGGCAAAATTGCTCGCTAGGTACGATAAAAAGAAGCAAATAGTACAATCGTTAATTAAAACATTTCTGGATCAAAAATGTATTTCACAGGTTGATAATGTTAATTTACGGTAATTAGCTGATACTTCCGATGAAGTTATCAGAGGTTTGAAAGCTCTTGGTGACAAAGCAACTTCTAGGAATACATGGTTTAATATTTATGTTGAAAGTTATTTATGTTGTAGATTCAGAAACTCAAAAGTTATGGGCACAGAAAACAGCGCAAGAGGATTTTCATACATTGAATGATTTTTTGAATTTTTAAATTTAAGGTGTTCTCTCGAAATTATCATAATTAAAGAAGCTGAAGCTAAAGTCGTTCATAAAAATAGTAATGTTAGTTCCAAAACGTTACAGAATCCTAAATTTAGTAATACTAAATGTTCGAAATATAACGGACTTCATGCGTTATATAAATGCGTTAAATTTAAGAATTTGGATGTTACTGCTAGAAAGAACTTTGTGAGAAAACAAGGATTGTGTTTTTTATGTTTAAATTCACATCTAATCAAAAACTGTAATTCACAGTTAAAGTGTAATTTGTGTAATTCAAAAACACATAATAGTTCGTTGCATGAAGATATTAAAGCTAACAACTTACAGCTTCAAATGAAAACGAAAGCACTCCAGAGAGAATTTCGAATGAATCATGCGAGGGTCAAGGTCAGGTAGTTGTCAGTAATACCATTCAAAATTGCAACTTGGCGATTTTGCCTACTGTTCTCGCACTCTCATTTTCGTCCAGCGGCAACACTATCGAAATTAAATTATTATTGGATTCCGTAAGTGAAAGTTCGTTTATTTCTGAACGAGCTGTTCCAAGATTAGGATTAAAAAGAACGAATCAAAGGTTACTTTTTGCGTGGAATTGGCAAAGTGCCAGCTTCCAAGACTCGTGACTCTATTTAGTGGTTTAAAGATTAAATCAAGGTTAAATAATGAAATAATTGATGTTAACGCATACATTTTGGATAGGTTAACTGTGCCATTACCGGAACAAGTCATTAATATTAAGTATATAGAATACATTAAATCTATTCCGTTAGTGGATCTGAATTTCGCTAAACCCAAAGAAATTGATTTGATTTTAGGAGCTGATTATTTTTTCTCCGTTTTAAGGTGTGGCCAAATATATGGTTTGAAAAATGAGCCTGTAGCTCAAAATACAATTTTCGGTTGGGTCATTGCTGGGAAGGTCAGAAATAATATGGAAGGCCAAAAAAAAAAAAAAAAAAAAAAAAAAAAAAAACAGCAAATTCACACTTCATAAAGCTAGAAGATAATATAGATATTGATTACGAACTTAAGCGTTTCTGGGAAGTGGAGGATATTGTCGATGTTGGGAAGAAGGAATTTCTGACACCTGAGGAACAATTTTGTGAATCACATTTTCAAAACACTCATGCTGTTAATTCAGATGGGCGATTTGTTGTAAAACTTCCATTTTATAAATCGCATTTGAAGTTGGGTGATTCAAAACCGGCAGCAATTTCTAGGTTGCGTTCCATTGAACGAAAATTCAAAGATAATCCGGGAATTTGAAAAACAGTATAAAGATTTCATACGTGAATATGAACAGTTAGGACATATGACTGTGATTAATGATGATTTATCTAACAGATCGGATACAGAAAAGTTTTATCTTCCTCATCATGCGGTAATTAAACCTTTTAGCTCAATGACAAAATTAAGAGTAGTTTTTGATGCATCCTGCAAATCTGAAAATGGTATATCATTGAATTCTCTTTTAGGGGTAGGTCCAAAAATTACAAAGAGATATTTTCGAGATTTTGATTAATTTTCGATTTCCTAAAATTGTTTTCACAGCCGATGTGGAGAAGATGTATCGTCAGGTGATGGTAGCCCCTGAAGATCAGAATTATCAATTGATACTTTGGCGATACAATTCCAGTGATAAAATGCGCTCGTACAAGTTGAAAACGGTTACGTATGGTCTTTCCTCTGCTTCATTTTTAGCAACTCGATGTCTGATGCAGGTAGCTTTAGATTCTAAAGAGGAATCAGATGTATCTCGTATATTGCAAGAGGATATGTATACGGACGACTTATTGTCGGGTGTAAATACAGTTGATGATGCAGTATCTGTCTGCAAGAAAATATCTTCAATTTTACATGCACATGGTTTTGATTTGAGGAAGTGGAATTCAAATTCTGTAGAATTATTAACTGAATTTAAGGAACGTTCATTGAATTCTGATTTCGAGATATGGAGTTCGAAAGTCTTAGGACTTTTTTGGAATTCAACTACTGATACCTTCAGTTTTAAAGCTACACTGCACATCAACGCACCTATAACAAAAGACGCATATTGGCAGAATCTGCTCGCATTTTCGATCCTTTAGGTCTCTTATCTCCTTGCACTATATTGATTAAAATATTCTCTATCAAAAGGCTATGGTTAGTTAAAGGCGACTGGGATTCAGTTGTTCCCCAGGCAGATCTCAGATGATTGGTTTAAATTTCAAGAGATATTCAGTCAAATCAATAATTGTGAAATTCCGAGATGTGTCATACTTACAACGGATAGTGTTATTCCAACTACATGGATTTTGTGATGCATCTTCATGGGTCTATGCGGCAGCCATTTACTGTCGCCAAAAATGCAATGGTATGGTTAAGGTTAATTTTTTGGTATCAAAGACTAAAGTTGCGCCTATAAAGCAAGTATCCATTCCTCGATTCGAACTCTGTGCTGCATATTTGTTGACCAGATTAATGCGATCTTTATTGAACATTTTAAAGAAGTTTAATTTCGAAATCTTTGCGTGGACATTCCAAGGTAGTTCTGTCTTGGCTATCCGCTCATCCACGTAAGTGGAAAACTTTTGTTGCAAACAGAACATCTCAAATCATAGAAGTGATACCTGTTAAACATTGGAATCATGTTCTTTCTAAACAAAATCCTGCAGACGTTGCTTCTCGTGGTATTGAACCTCAACTCCTACTAAATTGTACTTTGTGGTGGAATGGTCCACCGTATTGCGTCAGGAAGAGGAAAAATGGCCTAAATATGAATTAAAATCTGAAGTAAAGGCCGAACAAAGATATAATCCTGTTTTTATTTCTCATATACGTGAATCGAATGATTTATTAGCTAATTTGTTCGAGCATTATTCTTCTCTTTGTAGAATTGTTCGTATTCTGGCTTACTGTCAAAGATTTATTATTAATTGCAAGAAGCATCATGTTACTCAACATTTCACGCAGTGGTATTAACTCCAGCTGCGTTATCCTGCTAACATTTCTAGAGATTCGAGTCGCAGAAAATTTCATTATTCATTGGATTCAGAATCATTATTTTGAAGATGATTTACAGTGTATTAAGGAAGAGAAACCTTCACCCAAGAAGAGCCAACTACATTCTCTATATCCATTCGTAGATAAAGATGATGGTGGGAGGACGTCTTCGAAATTCATCTTTAGCATTTTACATCAAACATCCTGTCATACTTCCTTCTCAACATAAATTTAGCGAATTACTAGTGAAAGAACTTCATATTACTTACCTTCATGCTGGTTCTTCTTTATTATCACACCTCATCAGGCAAGCTTACTGGATAATTGAAGGAAAGAGACTAATACGCGGTTGTGTCAACCATTGCTTTATATGTTATCGATTTAAAGCTGCTTC